CCCAATCAAATCATTTTTCTATATATTTTAAAGTTTGTCACTCCCCATCACAAGAGACCAAGTAAGAACTTTGAAATTGGAACCTTTTATAGTTCGAATTTCAAGTCATTTGTGTGCTGTTTGTATAGAGCCGAGGCTCTAAACAATCAAAATAAAGCGGCACCTTCAAATACTATCGAGAAATGTGGTTTAAATACTAAAAATCTTTGTGATAACCTTGAAATATATTTTAATATTTAATTATAAAATTTAAAGCTTAAAAAATAAAATAAATGGAACTAATCTATGTAAACTTGAAAATCTTGAAAATTGATGGTCCAAAGCTTGAAATTCATTTTTTTTTTCTCATGTCCGTAAATCTTGATGACAAGATGATTAATTTGAGGGTATTTTAGAGCCTCGGCTCTATACGAACTTTTTCCTTCTTTTTTTTTTAGTATTTTTCATGTTAGTGGGTGGTGCCAGAAACATTAGAAGTCAACGAATCCAAGTTGCGTTCTATTTCGGGTTTTTGATTATCTTTTTTCGAAAATGCCATTTGACTTGACTAAATGCAAATTGTGTTGTATTTAATTTTAGGGTCTTGATAATGAAAGCGTGAAATTAAGACAAGTGTTAAAGTATGTAATATATATATATATATATATATTGGAATTATAAAGTCTATTCAAGACTTCAAGTTCACCTTTCTAGACTTCTAGCATTTTCAATACCGTGCTTCAATAAAAAAAGAGAAAATTACATAAAAATATGTTATATTTTATGTTATTATCGATATATAAAATAGTTTTTATTATTACATTTATATTTATTTTTTACTTTTGAGAAAAGATGAGATTAACCCACTAGCTCATATGAACATATGAGTCCAATGGCCCAGACTGAATTTGGACCTATCTGGACCGATCGGACGATCACAAATGTCTAGTAGTGTTTGAATTTTATTTTATTTTTTACAAATCCAAACCACTTGAAATTTTAGGTGTGTGTTCTTCTCATCAAGACACACTTAATAAAAATATAAAAAAACGTATTTATGAAAAAAAGATCAAAATACCCCCGAAATATTTTAGGTGTATTTTCATCAATTTATTTTATGTAAAATATTTTTTTGATATTTTTCAAATATTCACTTATTTTTTATGAACACACATCTAAAATTTCAAGTGATTTGGTTTTGTAAAAAAAAAACTAAAATTCAAACACTACTGGACATCCGTGATCGTCAGATTGGCCTAGATTCAAACTGGGACGTTAATGTTACATGTTTATATGAGCTAGTGGGCTAATCCTATCCTTTTTTTTAACTTTTTATAACATAATTTTTTTAAAAGAACCACTTTACTTTTTTTTAGATGTTGAACATCCGAATCGGTGAGATTTTCAGATATTCTTCATCTGAAAATAGGCTTAAAGTTAAACGTTAAATTTCCTATTTTCGGATGCTGAACATTTGAAATTACGGAATTTTCGGATGTTTAACATTAAAAAATACGTCGATAGTTTAACGTGAAGTATAACATTTTCGGATGTTGATCATCCAAATTTAAGAGATTTTCGGATGTTCAACATCCAAAAACAGAAAAGACGAAGGTTTATTTAATTATCAGGATATTTTCGGATGTTGAACATCTGAAAATATTTTAAATTCAGATGTTAAAAATGTTATACTTAACATTAAACTATCGGGATATTTTTGGATGTTGAACATCCGAAAATAGGAAATTTAACGTTTAACTTTCGGTCTATTTTCGAATGTTGAACATTCGAAAAAGGGTAAAGTGGTATTTTTTAATAAATTACATTATAGTAATAAAAAGACATACATGGAATAACAAAAATTATTTGATATATCCGTAATAGCGCAAAGTATAACAGATTTTTATGTAATTTTCCCATAAAAAAAAAGAGGAAAATTTACAATCTACCCTAATGTTACCTTTTTCCCAAAATGCCATTGGTTCATGCTTTCATAATCCAAACCAAAACTATTTTAACATGTTGTTTTGGATTTTCCAAATCTGATTTGGAATTATTGGATGAGCATCCTAACAAATTTTTCGAAAATCAGATAAACGGGTTTAGGTATAAACGGTTCTGAATGGGTAGGTTCACAAAAATTCAGTTTTTGAATCGAATTGTTAAGAGTTTTGGTTTGGAGTTTATAAATTGAAGCGGATCGTATTTTGGGAAAAAAATAAAAAAAATTCATGTGTGTAAATTATATCATATGGGGATATTTTTTTTTTAATCCAGGTCTAAGAAGGGTGATTACGATAGACTTTCTCTTAACCCGTCCCATGCCCCGGGTAAAGGGGCCCGGTTGTGTTAAGTAGGTAACCAATGTAAAATTTTGCTCAAATATATTATGAATTCTGAAATTGCATTTTATAGAGTAGAATGATAAACTAAGATTTGTGTAGTCAACCCAAATTAATTAAAAAAATATTATGATGATGAGGATAATAAATTATGGGAGCTAAGATAAATCAATTATTATCAAAGTTCTCAACCAAAGTGGACGTACGTTTGTCTTGTAAAAAGTGTTGTTAACTCAGTTCCATTGAGAAAAAGGTTGTAAATGATCATGAGGGTTATAAATATTAGTTTTAACTTTAGAGGGACTAAGTTTAGATTGGAGAAACAAATATATTGGGAAAATTATAGAAATTCTATATGGCCTAGGCTTTATAGAAACAAAAAAAGCATCACCTCAAATCTTTATCGGGAAAGCACTTTTGGCGATTGAAAATCTCCACAATGGATCTAAATCAATTTCCATCAACGACAATAAAATTTTAAACTTAAATAATGATATAGAATGTGAAACTATAAACACTTATTTTTAGAGCAAAATGGACGGTTTAGATGATTTGTTACAATATATACTATTTTTTGAGTTTAAAATCGTAATTTTTTTTTGGACCCGGTTTCTACACGACCATGTCCGCATATGTAGAAATGCAGGCGTCTTAATATTTATTTTTGAGATGGATTTTAATACTTAATTTTTAAGGATATGTAATCTATAACATGGAGATCATAAATATAAAAAAATAAATAATAATAATTTTAGCAATAAAACATTTGGACCGTTAGTTTCCGTTGTTTTTAGATAGAACACCTACTTGCATCCATCTTTAAGATGGATGCTTTACACTTTCTAGACTGTATGTGTAGAAATGAGGTCCAGCCTGCATGAAATAAAATTTTTTTTTGGGTAATTCAATAGGGATGACGAGTTCCTACCTGTTTTTGAAATCATTAGCGGTCTTTGAAAATGTTAGGTGAGAATGAAAGCCTAGATCTTAGCTGCGGCACATGTGGTGCTACCACCACGACCCCAACCCCATTCTTATTTGACTTTTTTTTTTTTTCATAATCATAATGTTTAAGTGAAGATGATCGATATAAAGGTTTTTAATTGTAATTTCCTATGAGCTATGAAGTGAGGTTTTACTTATTTTAATAGGACTGCAGCTTTATAAAACCATTTTACTATTTTATAATAATACCATTTTACTATTTTAAAATTATTCACTTTATTTATATTTGGAAAAAGTTTATATAGAGTTGAGGATCTAAATGATCAAATTAGAGCCCAAATCAAAAAGTGTATTAGAAGAGGTTGTTTTGATACTCAAATATCTTCAAATTGATTATCTCGACGTTAAGATGTATGGACATGAGAAAAAAAAATGGATTTCGCATTTTGGAAATAAGACATCTTGTAAATGGACTATCAATTTTTAAGATTTTCAAGTTTTCACAAATCTTCTCGATCTACACTATTTTTTATGCTTTAAATTTTATAATTAAATATGAAAATATATTTTAAAGGTATCACAAAAAAAATTTTATGTGTTAAAATCATATTTCTCGATACTATTTGAAGATTTGCTTTGGTTTGATTGTTTAGAGTCCCGGTCCATACAAACCACATTTTATATTTTATGGTACAATTACGCTTTTTCGTTTTTTTTTCTTTTTTTTTATCAAGTTACTGTAGTTATGGTACTCAATTTCGGACTGAAACTTGTTTCATGAGTAACGGCTCTTGTCAGAATTTCAAATTCGAAGCCCATTCTTGAGTCGATTGACTGCTTCAATTCTGTTTCCATCACTCTCGTATGATGCACTCAAGTTTTATCGTCCATGTCAAGGAGACGACTTTGAGCAGTCAACAACGCAGAACCTATATAAGGTCATGCCATTGGTAAGCTCTGCAACACCCTCTCTCTCTCTCTCTCTCATTCTTTAACATGAAATCTGTTATTGTAGCTCTTGGTTGAACCTTTTTCGACAAAAAATTTAGGGTTTTTTATTCGAACATCTGTTCCTTAATAGATTATACATCCTGAATTGTGTGTTTTCACATCTAGACTGGGCTTATTTTTGGTGTAGAACTTCAAAGCTTGGTAGTTTGTTATTCCTAGGGTTCGAGGCTGAAAATCTCTGGTTATTGGGCTTCTTTAGGCGTTGCTTATTTATACTAGACTTGGAATTCTTGTTGATTTATCATTTCCTTTTCATCTCCATCAAGTTTGATCCATAGAAGAGCTAAAACCCATCAAGATTATTAGAAAGGTTTGATTCTTACCAAGATATTTGATCTATATCTTGTGCATGTGCGGTTTCCTTATATAGTTGAGTTAACAGAGGATTATACCATCTCTTTCTGCCTTAGTTTAACGAAAAAAGCTAAGGAAAAAGGAAAGAACACATCTTTGTCTACATTAGTATCATTCAGAAGATACCATTGCTACAAATCCCTGAAAATAAAGAGCCATGGACCTTATGTTGCTCCTAGCTATACTTTTATCTCTTTCGTCTTTATATGTAATCAGAAGCAAGGCCTCAAATGCTAACCTCCCTCCTGGACCTCGAGCCTTGCCTTTTATTGGCCATTTTCACCTCCTAAAATCCCCACTTGCTAGGTCATTGTCCCATCTCTCCAGTAAATATGGTCCCATTTTTAGCCTTCGCCTGGGAATGAAGCCTGTTGTGGTTGTATCCTCACCTAGTCTTGCACAAGAATGCTTCACCAAGAATGACCTTCCATTTGCATCTAGGCCTCGCTTAGCAGTTGGAAAATATCTCGGCTATGACTATAACACAGTAGTTATGGGTCCCTACGGTGCCCATTGGCGAACAGTGCGAAAAATTCAAACACTTGAGCTTCTTTCTTTGAAGAAAGTCGAGATGTTTGCTGAAGTTCGCTATGAAGAAGTATCGTCATTGCTAAGAAACTTAGTTGAGTCTTCTGATAGAGAAGCGGTGGTAAATATGAAAGACAAGATCAATGAGACTATATTTAGCGTCATTGTTAAGATGGTGGCCAATAAAAGCTATTATGGATGTGATGGGGTTGATAATCGAGAAGATGCAAAGGAGTTTAGAGAGGCTATTGATGAGACATTCATGTTGATGGGACAGTTGAACTTAGGGGATTATATTCCATCTCTTGGGTGGTTGGATCTCCAGGGGCTTATCCGACTTATGAAAGCATTGCATAGGAAGAGAGATAGAATTTTGCAAGGGCTTGTGGATGAGCATAGGAAATTGAGGAGTGAAGGTGAGATCTTCATGCCTGATTTTGTTCACATGTTGCTTGACATGAAAGAGAAGGATCCCGAGTATTTCACAGACAATTTGATCAAGAGTGTTTTTGTGGTATGTCATTTCTTAGCTGAATTTACCCTTATGTTGGTGTGTTTATATATATTCTTCCACTTTTGATGTCTGAAGGATGCATACATTTTCACAAGGATGTCTTCATTTTGCAAATATATTATCTCTTTATTATCAGAGATTATCTTTCTAGATCGTTCCAAATCTATTAATTGCTCGTTTGGATCCATCCATTACCCTTTTTTTTTCTTTTATCTCCATAAGACTTTTTACCATTTACAAATAAAATGAAGTTTCCTTATGTAAATCCGTTATCATGGATTATTCAAAGAAATGGGGAAACAAAAAGTACCTTAATTATGAACTTCTCACGCTCTTTTGGGGTAAACTGCTCTGAACCCCCTTTTGCTGGCCTGCCTTGTTGGTGGTCAGCTTGAAGTATATGAGACATGTAGACATCTTATTACCCTAGTTAACTTTTTTCTCAAAAAAGGTCTCTTATTATTCCAATTGTCTGATTTCGGGATTTCGACGCATTAGATAGCTCGTGCTTGGATTGTGAATTGTTTTGATACTTATGTGACATTTTTAGGATTATATATATAGCCTGTTAACATTTTTTTAAGAAAGATATTCATCTGAACCTCAGATATCCCACAAAGCCTTAACTACTCGCGTATATGGCCATTTCCTTTCCAGGTAATGATCACTGCTGGAACAGAGACCACGGCGGGCACTCTAGAGTGGGCCTTAGCTCTCCTTCTCAACCACCCCGAAGCCCTTCACAGAGCTCAAACTGAGCTAGACCACCACATTGGAAGGGAGCGACTGGTCCAAGAATCTGACCTCTCTAAGTTAGAGTACCTTCGAGCCATCATCAACGAGACATTGCGTTTGTACCCTCCAGGCCCCACCATCCATGAGTCCACAGAAAAGTGCACCCTCGCTGGCTACACTGTGCCCAAGGGAACCATGCTCTTGGTGAACTCGTATTGCATACATAGGGACCCTGACTCATGGCCCGAGCCCTTGAGTTTCAAGCCTGAGAGGTTTATGGGAAGTGGGATCGACATAAAGGGCCACGATTTCAGGATGATTCCATTTGGGTCGGGGAGGAGAAGCTGTCCCGGCATGGGGTTGGCATTGAGGTCGGTGGAGTATGTGCTCGCGAGCTTGTTGCATGGGTTTGAGTGGCGGAGGGAGAGCCCTGAGCTGATTGATATGACTGAGGGTGGGGGGCTCTCTTTACCAAGGATGGTGCCCTTGAGGGCAATTGTGACCCGTCGACTCTCACCTCATGTATATCCGATAGTGTGATGGCTGCATCATGTCTCGACATACATGCATATGAGAGAGGGAGAGAGCTATGATATTTCTTCATGATCATGATTTATATGAAACACCTTGAGAAGAGAGGCTTGTGATTTGTTTACATGATCAAGGAATCTGAGTCTGCTTGTGTCTGCTGTATCTTGTTGTATATCTTCCATGGTATTGAAAGGCTTGTATATGTAATAGTATTTTTTTTGTTTTGATAAATTGTGGGTACTTACCTTATATTATATTATCATATTTTAAAATAGAAGGAAAACATGTGATGTGGATTTTGCGGGATCTTCTCGAAAAAGAATATGCATGTGAAGTATGGGTATTTAAACATGATATTCTATGACCCAAATAGTTGGGAAAAGGCATTGATGATGATTTTTGTTAACCTTGTCTAAAAATTCAAACCATCTTAACATTTGTGAAATCATTAAAAAACAATGCATTTGGGGAGGTCATCAATCCATACTATTCTACTAATAGCACATGGACATGGCACAAATATATCCAAAATACATAAATAATTGCAGTCTATTTTGGCTTGGACAGGTTAAAGATTATTTTCTCTTTTGTGGGGTTGGAAGGTTACTTTCATGGGGACAAATGAAAGGTCTCATCACTGTCATATTATTACATGTCTAAGAAAGCAGAAAACCTGATAAAAACCTCAAGACTATGGGTAAGCCTGCAGCTCCCTCTCTCTCATTCACTTCTTCCCATCTTTCAGGATTATCTTTTAAAGATTACTCAAAACTAGTGTTTTGAGTTGGTGGGGTTTCTTCTCAATCTAAATTGTTTTTTTTTCAATTGCTAATTAGGGTTTTTTTCCAGTAGATACTCAAAGGAGGATATTCTTGATTCCTGTGGTTTCAATTAAGAAATCACTGTGGCTGGTTCATAATTGAATCTTCTTCATAAAATTTAGGGCTTATAATTAGAATTTGCTACATGGTACCTGAACTGTTATTCTATGTTGTAGCGCGTGTTCTGCTATCTATAGTAGGCTTATTTTATGAGGTAGGAGTTCTTTTTCATGAGTTTTCCGACTCATGCTTCCTTTGGTGTTGTTGGTGAAATGGTTTAGAATTGAAATGAGAACTGAGAATTTTAATTAATTTTGTGATTTTTCTAGTATTGTAATATGTTAAGCATTATAAATCGTGCATGGGCATATGCTTCTTTGCAGCTCTTTCAAAATTTGAAACATAAAAAAACTAACCCCCAAATTGAAACAGCTGATTTTTTACTATTGTACACCTGCCATTCATAGTTCATAGTTTATGTATATGGTATGATAAATTTTTTTTTAAAACAATCCAAATTGATCTTGTTTTATGGTTTGGTACCATCTTTTACGAACCTATGGATACACATTAAGTTAATACAAGAGAAGGGGAAGAGTTGGTAAGTAGATTAACTTTATATCTGATCTTCAGAACATTTTGAGTTCATCACATTTTTGTGAATTCGATGAAGAAAAAAGACAGGAAAAGAACAAAAGGCATATTGCTACAGATCTTTGAAAATAAAACCAGATGGACCTTGTCATGCTTCTAGCTTTCTTCTTGTTCTTGGCTACCCTCTATGTAATTAAAAGCAAATCTTAGAATATTAACCTTCCTCCTGGACCTTGTCCCTTGCCTATTATCGAGCATCTTCACATCCTAAAACCCCCACTTTATAGGACACAATCTCATCTCTCTAGCCAATATGGCCCCATTTTCAGCCTTTGACTAGGGAAGCGGCCTGTTGTGATTGTTTCCTCCCCTCGTCTTGCACAAGAATGCTTCACCATAAATGACATTGCCCTTGCTTCGAGACCTTGCATGGCCATTGGAAAATACCTTGGCTATGACTATTCTGCAGTTGTTTGGGCTCCCTACAGTGATCATTGGCGAACTGCACGAAAAATTCAGACACTTGAGCTTCTCTCTTCAAAGAAGATTGGGATGTTTGAAAATATCTTCAGTTTCATTGTTACGATGGTGGCCGATATAACCTATTATGGATGTGAGCTGAGCATACAAAAGAGGGGAAGGAGTTTAAAGAAATCATCAATGAGACATTCATTTCAGGGGGTTAGTTGAATTTAATTAGATCTTCAGGGGATTATCCGAACTCTGAAAGCACTGGGGATAAAGAGAGATAGGATTATGCAAGGGATTTTAGACGAGCATAGAAAATTGAGAAGTGGCAAAGGGGATGTCTTAAAGGCGGATTTTGTTCACATGTTGCTTGATATGAAAGAGAAGGATCCCGAGTATTTGACAGACCATTTGATCAAGAGCATCATTGGGATATGTCTTCTTTTATCTCATCTTACACTCGCTGTCATCTCATCTAGGTGTCCACTTTTGAGGTCCAAAAAACTGCATAATTTTATACAAATATTCATTTGTCTCATATAAAGCTTTATGAGTTCCCATGTTTTTGGGAAATGGCCTATTTGATTTTTGGGCATTTGGAAATACCCTAGCTTGTGGTTTCAGTATATATTCATTTCCTTTCTCCATTTCAACCTTACAAACTGTCTTTGACCTACCTTTCATATGCCCAAAACCTTAGTACCATCAGCTTTCATCTAATCTTTGTTTCATAAAGGCACCTTGGAGGCGGGACCAACAAATCCTAGAAACCAGATTTCCTATAAAGTTCTTATCAGACTCATGTGGCTAGGGTGCCTTAGGTATCGGGACGATTGATGTTGAGATTTGTCCGCTTAATTTTCTCAACAATTCATCTGCATATTGAATTTAGCTTGGCCTGTGCTAGATCTTTACGTATTATAAAGATTGCTTTCCAAGCATCATCCCATATCTTGAACCACTCTGCTTTCCTTGCTCAATACCTCGAAACTTAGAAGATACATGCTCTCTTTCTCTTCTTCTTCCTCGTTTATTTTTTTTGTTTTTTTTTAAAGATCTATCTTTGTAAGATTTATGCACCAATCTAGGCAGAAGCACAAACTTGTGCGCATAAGCATCACAAATTCTGCCATTTTTGTATTAAGTATACATGAAAGGTAAATTGTCCAAATTGTGAAAGAACTTAAGCAGACTTAAAATGCAGGTAAGTAGTAAAATTATCAAGAATTTGATGGAGATTTTAAAGTAGTGTTCATGTAGACATCTCGCGGTTGCTTTGGTCCTTCGACCACAATTTTGATGGTCCAGCTTCATCGTCACTCTCTCTCCATTTCGTGTGAAAGATGATATTAGGATTCTGGCTCTTGGCTCTGTGCTTAGGGCAAGGGACTGCAACAATGTCCAAGGTTTGAACCCCACTGCTGAACTGTCCCAAAAAAAAAAAAAAGAGAAAAAAAGTTAAACTCTCTTTTACATGTTTGAGACTACTTCATGCCATCTGTTAATGGGTAGGAACGGAAAATTCCTATCATGCTCTCTTTTGTGAAGATATTGTTCATTTTTCAGTTTACTATATACATTCTTGTTCGAGCGCCTGTTATGTTTCCAAGCTATAATCTAAGTTGAAATTGAGATATTGGAATGTCTCTTAAGAGACTTTCAAATTTTTTGGATTTATGATTATATTTTTTGGATAATCAGAAACAGGGACATTAAAAAAAGGATGTCTTTTCTCTTATACACTTCTTTATTATTGTCATTATTATGATTATTATTATTATTGTTGTTGTTATTGTTGTTTGTTGTTGTTATTGTTGTTATTTTTAAGATTCAATATCGTTTTTTTTTTTGAGTGGAAAGAAACAGCTGATGACACTTTCTTTGGTATTCTTAATCCTTCATTTTGCTCAAACACTTTAAAGACTAATTTGGTGAATCACCTCTGCCTTTGTAGGTCAAGATCATAGCCGGAATAGAGACAACTGGAGTGGGCCTTGGCCCTCCTCCTCAACCACCCTGACTCGCTTTGAAAAGCTCAAACTGAGCAAGGCAAATGAGTCGGATGGAACCGATTAGTCGAAGAATCTGACCTCTCAAATCTAGAATACATCCAAGCTATTATCTATGAGACATTGCGCTTGTACCCACCTGATCCCACTCTCTGAGGTCCCATGAGTCGGTTGCGAGTGTACCATAGGTGGTTACACATGCATGCTTTTGGTGAATGCATGGCACATACAGAGGGACCCTGACTCATGGTCTGAACCTTTGCAGTTCAAGCCAGAGAGGTTTAAAGGGAGTAGGGTTGATATAAAGGGCTGTGATTTTAGGCTCATTGCTTTCGGTTCAGGGAGTAGGAACTGTCCTGGCATTGAGGTGAGTGGAGCACGTGCTCCCCAGCTTGTTGCATGGGTTCGAGTGGTGGAGGGAGGGCCCCGAGCCAGTTGATGTGTCTGAGAGCCGTGCCCCTGAGCACGATTGTTACCCCACACCTCATGCCGCACGTGTACCCTGATGCCTGATGCATGCATGGATGTATGGGCTCCTATGTCTCTATACATACATAAAACAAGAAACCTATGATTTGTCCACATGATCATGATATATATGAGACACCTAGGGCTTGTGTATGATGCAACTTAGTGTGTATTCAAGCATGCATATTGAAAGACTTTGATATGTACCAGCTTATGTTTATGTTTGGAAAATGTTTATATAGGAAGTCAATCTAGTAATATAAAAGAATACAATGAGACCATTAACTTTTGGTACAGAAAGGTCACAACCATCCGATCTGATTGTTTGGGTGTGTCACAAAGTTCGAAAAAATTTCTTTTAAACTTTGAGCATGATCAATGAAATAAATACAATCACCCAATTTCACATCTAACGGTCAAGATTAATTGTGATTACATTAAACCGAAGGTAAATGGTCTCATTATATATTTCTTATATAAAAGTATGGGGGATCTCAAACATCTATTGGGAAAAATCATTTGGCATTTACAACCCTCCATTTGATCTACTCGGCCTCACAATGTAGGCATATACAATAAAAAGAAAGATTTCAAATGTTAAGAATAGTTCATATTATAACACATTATTTGTACTCTATATTTTTAAGATTTCAAGTGCTTATAGATATGCACTATATTCGATGCTTTATATTTTATAATCAGAGTTAGAAATAGATTTTCGGACCATCATAAAGGTTTCCAATACTAGAAGTGCTGAATTTTAATTGTTCAAGGTTGACACCACCAATAGGAGTAGATATTACACTTACTCCCTCAGGTGGAGGAGCTAATTTGGAGGATTTTTTTAGTAGAATTTTTTGCAACCATACGACTATTTTCTTTCGGTTAATCGCTAGTTCAGGAAGTTACATACCTAAAAGTTGAGATTCAAAAATTAATCCTGAATTTTGTCTATGGGAGTGAATGGATGATATGCTCTGCTAGATAAAATAATCCTTGACATAAAAGATTGAGCAGGTGAACTGACCCTTTCCGAATGGAGTCATCACATGATTTCTTGACAATTTCCATGTTAGTCACAGTCTACAAGTTGACAGGGTCTCTCAATAAACAAAGGAGGATGGACCTACCATATAAGATTTTGGATTAGGCTTCCAAATTCATTCTTTTGTTTTATTACATTAAAGAAACTAAATTCTTTCATTGTAGTATGAAATTTCAACTGTATAAGGGGAGGGTATACTTTCCAATGCTTGGTGTAAGTGACCAGATATTGTATTTATTCTGCCAAATTTAGAAAGAAAAGGTTTTCGTGCTCCCGGGAGAAAATTGTATGTTTGCTCCCACAGGTGAAACACCATGTAAAAGGACTCATGTGACCCCAAAACTTTGAGACCAGTATTCATCTCTAAGGCTAATCTAAAAGATAAAGAAGAGAATTTATCCAGAGGTAAACCTCATTTTGACCCTTTTCAAATAGGGCAAGCTTTCTATGTTTTTTCTAAAGCATATAACTTATATACTTTCTCCTATCCAACATTTCATTTTGAAGTTATATACTTTCTCCTATCCAACATTTCATTTTGAATAGACGGCTGAGTTGGCCCCAATCACAATGTCAAGTCTTTACACTATTTTATTTTTAATTTTTTCTATTAAGTATTTTGATACCAAATTTTGGGCTCCACTCGTCTCTTAAACTCGTACTTGTAAAAAATATACAAAAAAAAGTTCCCAATAAAGTAAAATGACTAAAATACCCTTGAAACTTTCAAGGGGTATTTTGATCAGTATATTGTATTGAAAAACTCTTTCTAATATTTTTTTTAGGAGCACACTATTGAGAAGATGACATGTACTAAATTTCATATTCATACAATTTGTAGAAATAAAACTAAGCATAGAATGCTATGAGGCATTAGATATAAATCAAACGGTAAGTTGCTCACTTGATCTAAATTGGACGGCTAGATGGAGGGGAAATATATATTATTTATGCTTTAGGAGAAATATAGAAACCTTTCCCTTTCAACTGAAGTATATTTTTGAATTAGACCAAAAATGGTTAAGACACTAGCCAAGGGTCCGATTAGGTGGTCTAGTCCGGTCTTGATCGCTACGTAGGCATACATCACATGTATGATTTTTGTGTTGGGTTAAATTCCATGTCTCTTTTAATGTACGAGTTCCTTTTGTTAAAAGATTACAACATCCCCATGCTCCCCATGGAGTATGTGAGACATTCACTCTCTAGGGTGGAACCCTTTATGAGAGTATGTTTGATTCACGTGAAGAATTATCCAATGTGGTTAGATGTAGGAATATTTTCACATTAATTTATTGTCAATGGGTGTGAAAAGATGCACTGTGACCAATTGGTGTGAAAATATTCCCACACCTAACCACATGAAGGAATCTTTTGACATAAAAATATTTCTTGAGAAATATTTTCACACGAAATAAATGTGCTCAAATTTTGCGGCATAATTTCTTTAACTTAGTGAGCAACCTAAGGTAAAAATGTATTATGGTCATATCTAAGCATTTAGAAACTCAAATTCATTTAATTTGCTTAAAATAAGTCAATCTCAAAAATTTATTATCATGACAATTTTCATATGATCTATTATGGATCCTTTTATTTTTTATTTTATTTTTATCGATTTCTCATTCATTTAACTCAAGACCCTGATTTAAGATCTAGGCATCCATCATGGTAATTAGGGCTAAGCAAGCGGTTTCTAAGCATTCTTCAAGTACCTTAGTTCACGTCTCCATTGATGATTCTAGGAAGAAACATATGATCAAGCTTCATAGAGTGATCAAGACTATTATTACTCACGTCTTAACAGGTAAAAGACGTTGATTTTTGGTATGCCAAAAGTTTATATAAAGGTGAGGCCGTAAACAATCAAATTACAGCGCCATTAAAAAATTCACAAAAGAAGTTGTTTCGATGTCCAAAAACCCTCAAATCAATTATTTCGATGTCAAGTTATACAGACATGAGAAAAAAAGGATTTCAGTTCTAGAAATAGTGCATGCTTTTGACAATGTTACTTTTTATTGATTAAGAGGGTGAGTACAACGAGTCAAAGAAATATTGTGAAGTTGTTGATCGTCAATTTTCAAAATTATCAAGTGTTTATAGATCTACTTAATCTACAATAATTTTGAAGCTTTAAATTTTAGAATTAGATATGAAAATGAATTTTCAGGCGATCACAAATCTTTTTAGTACTAAAATAACATTTTTGTATACTTTTTTAAAGTGTGCCCCACTTTGATTGTTTAGAGCCTCAGTCTTGTACAAACCACAATATTTTGTTAAATTTAGAGCTTAAAAAAAATAAGTTTTAGTTATTTCCCAATCCAAAATTAACCCATTTTCAAAAACCTTTTACATTTTATGTGAGTTGATTTCAGCTGAATCAAATGATTCGACTTGGAACAACCAAATTTTCATTGTTAGGTGATTGAGTCAGACTTGAATCCTGTTTTCTAAACATTGATATGGAATACCACCTCTTTTTTGGATAACTTTTTTTCCGGGAGGAATGGGCTCAATGCTAGGTGTCCAGGGTGGTTGGGTGCCGCAACTTGACGTTTTTTATTCTATTTCTACTATCGGTAGATAACCATTTCCTATTGAACTACCTAAAGGAAAAAAAATATAAATACCTCCTTAGACCCAACTTTTTAGGCATTGCTCCCCACCTCCACCTCCATCGCCCCCTTAAAAAACACAAAAAAGATCTTTTAAATCACAAAACTAACACAAACACCGTTTTTTACGCACCCATCCCCAAATAAAAAAATAATTTTTTTATAACAAAAAATGCCCTTTTCTAAACCCATGTTTCTCTTTGTTTTATACAATAAAGCTGGTCAGCCACACTACGTGCTTGATCGGCTTTTAGCCAAACTGGCTTTATTTTTTTCTTAGAGAGAGAGGGGAGTCCAAAAATGTAGATTTAGACTATGCATTTTTGTCATAAAAATTTACTTTTTTACTTGGAGTGTAGATTGGAAAAAAAAAAAAAGAAACATAAGTTAAAGTAGTTTAAAAAGTATTAGGCCAGGGATTCCTTGAAAGTTGGTGAAGAAGTGATCTATAATTTTCTTTAAAAAACAAGGCTTTTTCTGGCATCAACTTCTCTTGAATATTGGGAGAAAACTTCTTTTCTAACAGGGTTGGTATTGCGTACACACAACATGTGGATGCTTAATGGTTAAGATTGAACCACGCTCATCCAAGGGCCAATAATGAATCTCATTTTTTTTATTTAAAAATGATTTTAATATGAATAAGTAAGGTTCAACAAAAGCAATAAAAAAATATTGATCGAAATAATTTAGAGGTATTTTGGTTTTCTTTATAAAATATTTTTTAATCATTTTATTTAATGGTGAAGTTTGTATAGGGCCGAGGCTCTAAACAATCAAAATAAAACGTACCTTCAAATAGTATCAACAAATGTGGTTTCACTGCTGGAAATCTTAGAGATAGACTTAAAGTATATTTTCATCTTCAATTATATAGTTTAAAACTTCAAAAATAGTGTAGATCGAGCCTATCTATGATAACTTGAAAATCTTGAAAATTGACGGTCCAAAAATACGTTATAAGATGCACTATTTCCAAAACTTAAAATCCATTTTTTCTGGTGTTTATGAATCTTGATGTCAAGATGATCAATTTGAGGATATTTAGGCATCAGAATAACCTCTTCTAGTGAAATTTTTGAGGTGGACTCTCATTTGATTGTTTAGAGCCTCGGCTTTATGTAAATGTTTTCCTTTGGACAACCGTCCCTGTAGATCCATGATAGTTTTTAAGACAAAACTGCTAATATGTCCGCGGGGGGCTATGTCCGTGGCGGGGTAATGTCCGTGGCAAGACGAAACACTATTCAATTTCACTTTTAAACATTTTTAAAAAATTTTATTTTTATTTATTTAATTATATTTATAAAAATACACCTACTTTCAAAAATCACATAATTATCTTATTTAAATAAAAATTATAATGCAAACCTAATTTATGGTCATTGGATAGGGTCATATGAGATGTCAACATTCCACATGAAGTGACAGGTTCATGTACTTCTTTTTTAATATACTACCTCGGACTTCTTTTCCTTTTTAATGTACTTCTTTTTTAATATACTACCTCGGAGAGTACTATTTCAATTTCTATGATGGTTGTTAAGGATAACTTCTAGCTTAGTTGAATTTTGGGTTATGGATGGGATAATTTATTTATTTTTTAATATATTTCTTTTTTTAATCTACTGTCTAGGTTATTACTATTTCAATTTCTTTGATGGGTTGTGAAGCATAACTTCTAGATGCGTTGACGTTTGGGGAAAATAAAAACCCGAAAATAACTAAGAGCATATGCATTAACACAATTTATTTCTACTCTTTCAGTCAAATGATCTACTTAGAAGGAATTTTTTCAATTTGAAGTTTTGGGAACCACCTGTTATATAATTATTTTCGAAAGAAAAAAAAATTAAAATTTAGAATTTTCTAAAACATAGATCTCACCCTCTAAAAATTTATTATTTATATTCAATCTTGAGATGGGTGTTTGTATTGAGGTTTATATTCCAAAATTTGGAATCCTAAAATTAACTCTAGGTGAGATTTTACTGAGGGAATAAGTGGTTAGTATACTCCGGAGGGAGTAAAATATCTCTTGGGGATGTAACTAAACTATCTCTGACATTTCTCATAACGGACCGGTAAAAAAAACAATGAAACGTAAGCTCTTACGTATGCACAAATGCAAGGTCCAATGCTTCGCTGGCAACCCGCTAGGTGGTCCAGCCCGGCCCTAAATACTGCCCAGGGCCACAAGGCCCGAGGGCAGCGGCAGGCCGAGTTAGGGCCGTGAGAGGGCCGACCCAGTTCAGTTTTTCCTGTTTTCAGCTCCGTTTTATAGCCTTGAAGTAGAGCTGAATTTGGCAAATTATCCATGAGAGATGAACAATTTAACACTTTATTTTTCATAATTTGATTTAGTTTCAATATATGTAAAGAAAAATGGTGTTGAGTTGGAATATTTTTAAATGGGCAAAATATTAAATCTTGATTTCGAATGAGTTTTTTTGATAAATTTTCCTCTTCTTCCTTCTTTTTATTTTTTTATTTTTTTTGGACTTGTGAGTTTGAGTAGAATTGAGCTATTTTTAATAAATGGACTTTTAAAATTACAAAAAAAATTAGAGGTGGCAATGGACCCGAACAGAACCGAGACAGGACGAGTAGACCCGATCTACTTTGGAATCGAGCTTTCACATGTAAAAATGCCAATTCGAAACCCATATTTTGATCAAAAATCCTAGTTTGGCACTGTGATGAAGACACTGGCTTCGATCTAATACTTTGTACCAATGGTTTAAAAAACGGATCGGTGACCTGGATCGAGCTTCCAAAAAATCAATCCGGATCGGTAAATCGGCGATCCGGATCGGGAATCGAGTGAATCGGTCAGAATAAAGCTTAAAAAAAATTCGAAAAAATTATTAAAATTCATTATAAATATTATTTTTTAGGAATTCAATAAAAAATGAGGGTACTCCATTAAGAATTTTCATGTTTTTGAATGAATATGCGAATATTGATATGTTCTTTCCCTGTATGAACCGCCATTCAGCATTTAATTTACAGTATTTCGTGCTCATCCCTAT